ATACCACAATTGGGGTTCAGACAGGTACACAGGACAGACACTGTGCTAGTCACTATATGAAGACCTTCTTGTTGCTGTTTACACAAGTGAGATCTCCATGCTAATATTGCTATGCCACTCAGATGTCTTTGACAGAAGGTACGTTGCTGCTTCCAGATATACTTCTCCAACAGAATTTAATCATGATGGCCAATTATTATTGTACTCTGTAGACCTTCACCTATGGAATCTCATGGGAACCTATACAAGTCTTTATTTTCAAAACCTGGGAGAGAGAGCGAGATGCCAATGCCATGGCTTAGCTACCAGCAATATGCTGACAACTCTCATATTTCCTGGTGCAACTATTAAATGTTAGAGCATTTGCAGGAAATTAGCTCTTGGATAACCAACAGATAACTTAAGCTAAACCCAGGCAAAATCAGAGTGATACTGGTCAGAAAGGACTGGCCCAGGCATTGTCTTGGCCTCCAGTGAGAGGCAAACAGATCCCCCAATTCATCCAAGTTGTGTGAAGTGTCATAATTCAATTCAACTTGCAATGTGTAAAGTGTCGTGATTCAATTCAACTCCTTGCAATGCTTAGATGACCAGGTAGAATCAGTTTTCAGAAGTCATCTTTTTTTTTTAGAAAACTTCACTTCTTCCCCCCAGCTGGTCATGCTAATCTATGCCTTTGTTATCTCCAGGCTGGATTACTGCAACTCATATCAGAATATAAATGAAATGATACTGCAAGGCTCCCAGTTGATGTGAAATGTCTCTGCTCACATTTTGCATGGGTCAGACTGCTGTGAGCACATCAGTCTTGTGATCCAGTCTCTCCACTGGCTCCTACTCTACTTCCCTATTAGTTAATGGGCTACATCTTAATTCCAAAGCAATAATTGGCTTAATCTGCAACTACATCAAAGAATAAATTTTATCTATGAACCACCATGGCAATGCAAATGTCAAAGCTCAGGAAGAAGGTGAGTAAGAACTTCATAAAACATTCTTTGTTGAGGAGATCTGGCTGTGGAATAATCTCTATAGGTGAATGGGTAGATCCATTTTTAGGAAACTTGGCAACAATCTAACTTTTCAAGAAAGCCTCACTGCAAATAAAACAATTCAAATAACCCAAGTCCCTCCAAACTCCCATTTCCTCCAAAAATCCTTCTTCAAGCAGAATTCTAGCCTCTTGAAGGAAGAAGTATAAAAGTCCATGAAGTTTACTAAGGACTTTTCTCTTGATGCTGATCTCGTATCAAAGGTATTGTAATGCTATGGTACATACTAAGACCCCTCTACACATTACAGATATCACACAATTAACTGGTTAATTGCACAATGATGTCAAGACCAGCAACACGTGCAAAGTACTATCATGCCATAAAAAAGCTCCAAACAGCTATAAAGTTAGACCTCAAAAATGTGTACTAACCTTATAGCTGGTTGCTATCTAGCTTTAATTTGCATGTGTAGCAGGGTCTCCCTTGCAACTGGGAGCTCCGCTGATGGGACTCTCAGCCATAGGAGTGTACCATCCCAGTAGTACCCTGCAGCTGCAGATGCTGGGTTCCCTGCAGTGTTCCTCTCAGTACCAGGACCCAGCAGGGTCCCATCAGTCACAGGGTGCGGCTGCAATCTCTCACCCACAGGGGGTTTTACACATCTGTAAGGCTGGGACATCATGGCAACCACATCTCCCAGTCAGCCCTGGGGGTGCATGGGCACCCCAGTGGCTGAGAGCCCCTCAGCTGTGGGGGCTCCCAGCTGTGGGAGCTTGTTTCTTTCTTGCTAGTGCAGGGGGAGCTCAGGATTGGGCTCCCACTGCACCAGCAATAACACGTGATCCACAATCTAGTAAGGCACAATGGGATCTAATACATGATCCACAATCACACTTCCTGCCATGCATGTGTGCATTTGTGTTGATCATGCATTAGATCCTATTGCACCTTTACCTACACATTCAGAGGGACCCTAAGATACATAAGACCAGCAAAAAGCAGCACTCTATTGGCTTAAGTTTACCAGTGAACTACAATTTAAAAGTGGTTTACCTGGAACCTACCCAGGGATTCATCATATCAGCGCATCTGTCTGTACCTTCCCTTCACAATCCCTTTCACTGTATAGTGTCTTCAATAATTTTTCCTTGTGACTCCCTTGTAAAGTAGAGAATCATCATTGTTATCATTTTACAGATGGAGAATTGATGCAGGGACAATGACTTGCTCAAGGTCATGAAAAAGTTTTTGGTGAACCAAGAAATGGAAGCAGGTCTCCAAATCCTAGTATGTTTCCTAACCATTGGTTGCTCATTTTACCGCCAAGACTACAGCCCGGATGTTGGCACAGGCTAATAATTTAGGGCTTGCTCTCATTGCGAGGCCTGGTATGTTGGGGACAGGACCACAACACTAATTGTGTGGCAATTCTGCTGGCCATAGGGTAGCTTCCTGGAAACGGGTCACCTTGCTATACGGTGAAGGCCTTTTCTATCCTGGAGCAGACCATGAAATGAAGGTGCAAACTTTAACACCCTCCCCAGCTTAGTTGTACTTACATTGTGATTCTCACCTAAGTGAAAAGTAAATATACAAACAACTTTGAAATTTAAAAGTCCTCTTTGATTCTAGTTTTTAGTTTGCTTTTTTAATATTATGCAATACTTTTCCTAACTTAAACCTGATTTAAGACTGAACCTATGGACAGAAACTATACTACTAAATTAGCTGTATAATCTGTTAATTTCCTTTTCCTCTAAACAATATATAGGTTTTCATGCCCACGGGGCTGAAAGTGGTAATTCCAGAAGATTGGATGCATCTACACAAGACACTACATAGCCGCAGCAACAAACTACTGTGCTGTGGATCGTTGTGACAGCATTGTAATGTCATCGGGCATGCAGTAACTTATTATTACTGTGCAGTAGCAGTTAAAACTAACCATGTGGCAATGGGCCTGCACAGAAAACCAGTTACTGCGCAGTCATTTAGTGCCTGCTTAAGTTAGTAACAACTGTGCAGTCTGCCGCATGTCTAGATGCGCCCACTAGATATAACATATAATGTACACACTAATAACTTCCTATAGGGGCCTAAGTTTGCCCTCATTTTAATGGGTTAAATTTGCTTTATCTCTTAAATGCATTGTGTACTAATCACCATCTCTGCACACAAGTTTAGTTTTCGAACACAGTGCATTTACATTATACAGTATTGTATTTTAACACTTTTAACATTTGGGTTTTAATTGTTAATTTTGGTGATACAAGGAATTCTAGCATTTGGTTAAAGATACCCAGTATTGCTTATCAGTTAAATGTGGGATGAGGAATTACATGCTAGAAGGTAGCTTGGTACAAACTGCTGTTTCTGCTACACTAATATGGATATGAGAGAGAATTCTAAGTAGAGAGATTCAAAAACATTAGAATGACCTTGTACTGTTAAGCTTATATGGAGAATGACCTTTCCTCCCTGTGATTGTCTACAAAGTAACATGCACACTTATGTTCCTACAGGAATTGTAATAGAATGTTTTAGTCAGAAAGTTTAAAAAACTGTTAAACTTCACTGTTTTTGTCAGGGAAATATCTTACTTTTAAATCAAACAAATTGACATGGTGTTTCTGCTTCTCTCAAATATAATTAAATATTTATTTTTGTATATTTAAAAACATACCTAAATCAGGGTATTTTTTCCCTCTTTGAGAAACGTATTTATACTCTGCAGAAAACTTGGGAAGCATCACCTATAGATCTATTCTGCATTCCCCAGGGGACAAAGGAAGTGAGAAAGATGAGTTTAATAATTTAGTCATTTGTCCATGCTGTTTCATAAAGTTCTGGAGCTCTAGTAGTTCTCCCAGAAGGGCTTGTAAATTCATTGAACAGGAGTCATTTGACTCATGGAAATTACCTGCTGTAGCAAGAATATCAACAGATTTTTTACACCATAATTATAGGTACAAAAGAGGCTACAGACACTGATCACGCTGCCAGGCTTATCATGTAATATGGTAGCTGGTGGGGGTTTTGTTTAGATAACTTTCAGCTGCTGCTTCTCCTTCCTTCCTACCCACAACACCACCATAACTGCATAAGGAAAGCCACTTAAGACAGTGAACCTTATATTTCTGTTCACTATATCTGTAAATCTGTCTGTCTATCTTAAATAATGTAAAAGATTTTTGTAAACTCTTATAATTTTTATCTTGATTGAGGAAGAGAAACTATTTACAGAAGAGAAGTTTCCTGCTGTGTTTATATTTTCAGAAATATCTGGAGAGGGGTCAGCAGCTGCTTCTCTGCTTTCAACAAATCTACATTATTCAGGTTGTGACCTGTTTGGTCTGCAGAAAAACTGTTTTAGGAACAATCACGTGTTCTGTTTACCACAACAACAAAGTCACCTTCACAGAAGCCTTTCAAAGTGAAAAACTAGTGCAATTTTACCTTCACAAAGCCAAATTTCCCTTTTTTGTTACAAAGAATGCCTCCTAGCACTTTGAAAACTAGTAAGTACTAAAGTACTAAGAACGGAACTATTTTTGAGAAATGTTAATAGCGTTAATACCAAATAATACATTTTCTTTAGGATTCTGTGAACCATTCTGTACAGGCCAAAAAAGAATTATATAACTTAGCAGAATTCTACAGAATGATTAAAAAATTCATCTGGGAAGGTATTTATCTCAATAAAGTTTCCTGTCTGTGATTTTGAAAGTGCCTTAGAGGTGCTGGAAACTCCAATCACCTAAACTGTTTTAAAAATCTCAACCTATAGATTTATAGAGTACTTTCTATAGAGCCCTCTTGCCTTCATCCTACTCAGTTCTCTAGGATATTTTCATAAAAGAAAAATCAGTTACCACTTAATCTCGTAAACATCATCTTTCTATCCTACTTTTTAACTTTCTTTTTAACCTCCCTCTTTTCTTTAGTTCTGTTCAAAGTTCTAGCCAACACTATTTCTTTATCAATAAGGTAAACTAATAGACTCACCTTCCAGTGTTTCACATTGTGCTAAGTTGACATAGTCTGCATTTCTCAAGGTCCCAGCTTTAAAACCTCGGACCAGTCCTTCCAGGTAGCCATGGTCCACATTGAAGTAAAACTCTGCGTACCCTGGCATGGAGAAAAAGAAGTTCAGACTTTTCTCCTGTTTGGGGGGAAGGTAGAGTGTCAGCACTGGGTCTTGTGCCTCTCTTTGGAAGGTAGTCACTAAGTCAGAGTGACTTATTTCTTCCTGTTTACTCCTCCCTGCACAGCTAAGTTCCACTTTGCTTGATGCTTACACAACATCATTTAATCAGTCAGAAAACAAATCCAGCTCCTTCCTGTCAGATTCAGAAATTTGATCTACTTTGGTGGAAGAAGAAGTAGAAGAGACAGCAAAGTATTTAATTGTTGCTTACAGAAAGTTCTTTGGACCAGACTGGAAAATGTACAATTTAAAGCCCCCCCAACCCCCCTGAAACCTAACTAGTATTTTCAAACTTCTTGTATGTATTATCATCACAAAATCCCCTCTAATCATATATTAAGTAATGACTGAATTAGATGTCTGAAAATAATTCAAGGGTTATTGGAAAAACTCAGATAATTTAAAATGTCTATCTGTTACTTGTTTTGATCCTCAAGAATTTTCCATTGCACTCCAGGAAAGATAACAATGTATAAAATTGTTAGATTACTATCAAGATGTGATACCTTCATCCTGAGGTTTTCTCCTTTGTTTTTCATTTTTCATTAAATTTTTTCTTGCCCTCTCTCCATCTGACTTTTATCATAGTCTTGGTGAGCATAATGTAAAAATAATGAGACCAATATTGAATAAAATGTGGGAGGATGTGGGCACACTAGAAGGAAGCAACAGGCTACAATCAGATCTAGACAGGTTACAAGGGTGGGAGGATGAGAATAGGATGGGATTCAACACGGACAAGTGCAAGGTGATGCACCTGGGGAGAAACA